AGAGAGAGAGAGAGAGAGAGAGAGAGAGAGAGAGAGAGGCAGAAGGGCATTTTAGTCTTTTCAGTTTTCCAAGGAACCAAAATTACAAACAAACATGGTCAAAATGACCATCAATCCAAAAAAGTCGGAGTTTGGACGAAAACCCATAAAAAAAATACATACCATAGGGACTATTTTTGCAGTTTTGTCTCTTTTTATCTAATTTTTAATCGATATCAATAGAACAATTATCCATTCTTTTTAAGTTTATAAACTAGAAAGAAGGCTATAAAGTAATAGAAACATAAATAAACCAAAACAATAAGCTGGTACAATCAAAAAAAGTTTCCAAATTGTACATGTTTTTCAAAAAAAAATGATTGAAGGTTTATTTGAAAAAAAAAGATTTGTTTTTTCGAAAAAAAACTATGTAAAATCAAAATATTATAAGTAAAACTCAAGGTTGTCAAGATAAACTCAAGGTTGTCAAGATCGGGATTTTACTTAAGATCGTTTTGCATTTTGAAATATCGTGATCGTAAATGAACTAATATTTAAATTTGCATCACATGACGTTGAAAATGGAATTAACTATTACTTCTTAAGCATGAACAGTAATTATTTTGCTATAAACCATAAAAATTATGAAGAAAACATCTTAATTAGAAAAAAAATTAGTTTGATAATGTACAACTAAAGACAAAAAATCACAGAGAGATTATTATGAGTGTGTTTTGTCTAATTAGATATGTATCGATGAAATAATGATGTTTTACAACACTTTTTGCATCTTGCAATGTTCGATTTTAACTTGAATAAACGAATTTGTGAGACTCAACTAGATAATAAAACTAATAATAAGGTGAGATCAGAATCGTAGTGTGATTGAGATCGTTTTTGACTTGTATGATCTTAAGATCAAAATCGAGATTTTAATAAATTTGTTAAAATTGTTAAAATAATGAGTAAACTAAACTGAAAATAACACTGTTGTTCAAAAAAATTAAAATACTATAAATAAGAAAAAAGATTTAAAACTATACTTATATATTAATTTTGATTTATAAGTTTTTTCATTATTTTCAAAAAATATTGTATATCGTTAAGTATCAGTAAAAAGTGCTTATCAGATTCATTTCTAGAGTACAGATTATAACCACACAGGTTACGTCTAGATCATTCTTGAACACATGGGTTACTTCTATAAACTATCAAGTGACAACAACAATCGATAGGTGGCACTCTGCTAGAAACATCCCTCCTTCTATTCCGATTTTCCCTATTTAAATTGCCCACAATATTCCCTCCAAAAAAAACCAAACTAACTCACAATATTCATAGCAAACGAACATGTCAACTGCAATTTCCCTTTTTGCCCCTTCCCTTCCACTATGCAAATCACAACATCTTTCAAGAAACACGAACCCATCTCCAAAATCAACTTTAGAAACCAAATTCAATAGAAGAAACCTCTTAAAAACCCTTGGCCTGACCCTCATAGGAGAAACATCAGGCACTGGTATACTTGTACATCCTGCAGCAAAAGCAGTACCCGAGAGTCCAGTTGAAGCCACTTCAAATACTTTATCTTATTCAAGATTCTTGGAGTACCTTAACGAAGGTGCTATCAGGAAGGTGGACTTTTTCGAAAACGGGAGATTAGCAATTGCTGAGATATCAAATCCTGTTCTTAATAAGATCCAGAGGGTTAAGGTCCAGTTGCCTGGACTACAGAGAGAGCTGATCAGGAAACTAAGAGAAAAAGAAGTCGATTTTGCAGCTCATCCAATGGAAACGAACATGGCGGATGCTGTTCTTGACTTAATATCGAACTTTGCTTTTCCATTGATACTTCTTGGTGCTTTATTGTTCAGATCTTCGTCTCCAAACACACCTGGAGGGCCTAATTTGCCATTTGGACTAGGAAGGTATTATATTAATCGATCAAGTAACTTACACTGAGATTATCGATGATTATAAAAGTTTTTTGATTCACAGGAGCAAAGCCAAGTTCCAAATGGAACCCAATACGGGGATAACATTCGATGATGTGGCAGGAATTGATGAAGCAAAACAAGATTTCGAAGAGATCGTTGAGTTTCTCAAAACCCCACAAAAGTTTTCTGCAGTTGGTGCGAAGATTCCGAAAGGTGTTCTTCTGGTGGGCCCACCGGGAACTGGAAAGACGCTACTAGCAAAAGCCATAGCAGGAGAAGCACAAGTACCTTTCTTTTCACTTTCAGGGTCGGAATTCATTGAAGTGTTTGTGGGCGTTGGAGCTTCTCGAGTGAGGGATTTGTTCAATAAGGCAAAGATGAATTCGCCATGTTTGGTTTTTATCGATGAAATAGATGCTGTTGGAAGACAGAGAGGAACTGGAATTGGTGGAGGGAATGATGAGAGAGAGCAAACATTGAATCAGCTTCTTACAGAAATGGATGGATTCAGTGGTGACAATGGAGTCATCGTTATTGCTGCTACTAATCGACCTGAGATTCTTGATTCTGCTTTACTTAGGCCAGGAAGGTTCGACAGACAGGTTAGTAAACAAAAAAAAAAAAACATACCCATGAAAAAAGATTTGATACCCAGAAAACTTAACCTAAAAAGGATCGATCTTGGATTGATTTTATACAGGTAAGTGTCGGACTTCCTGATGTTAGAGGAAGGGAAGAAATACTTAAAGTTCATAGCAAGAACAAGAAAGTAGACAAAGATGTGTCACTTTCTGTAATTGCCATGCGAACTCCAGGGTTCAGTGGTGCTGATCTGGCGAATCTTTTGAACGAAGCAGCGATTCTTGCTGGAAGAAGAGGGAACGATAAGATTACCATGAAAGAGATTGATGACTCCATTGATAGAATCGTTGCAGGAATGGAAGGAACTCAAATGACAGATGGAAAGAACAAGATTTTAGTCGCCTATCACGAAATCGGTCATGCAATTTGTGCGTAAGTAGTAAACCACTCAACCATATAACCTTGAATTTCAAAATTTGGTCTGAATTTTTGGATCTTTTGGTGTTTGTAGGACTTTGACTGAAGGGCATGATCCAGTTCAAAAAGTGACATTGATTCCAAGAGGACAAGCTCGTGGATTAACATGGTTTACACCTAATGAAGATCCTTCTTTAACTTCTAAGAAACAACTTTTTGCTAGAATAGTAAGTGGTTTAGGAGGTAGAGCAGCAGAAGAAGTCGTTTTTGGTGAACAAGAAATCACTACAGGTGCAGCTGGTGATTTGCAACAGATTAACCAAATAGCAAGACAGGTATATAATTATAAGCTCATGTAAGTTTTGGATTGTAGAAGAAAATGGAAGAGAAAGTAATGAGTAGTTTGTGTTTATTTGTGGATATAGATGGTTACTAGATTTGGAATGTCAGAAATTGGGCCATGGTCGTTGATTGATCCATCAGTTCAAAGTAGTGATGTGGTATTAAGGATGTTAGCAAGAAACTCGATGTCAGAGAAACTTGCGGAAGAGATAGATATGGAAGTGAAATGTATAATTGAGAAAGCGTATGAGATGGCAAAATCACATGTGAGGAAGAACAGAGATGCGATGGATATATTAGTAGATGTGTTGCTGGAGAAAGAAACACTTACTGGAGATGAATTCAGAGCAATTTTAGCTGAGTTTTCTGATATGTTTTCTGCGAAGAAAGGGGAGAGCGCTAATGAATTAGTCAAGGTGTAGATAGTCTCCATTGTTTATAGAGTTTGTAAATCTTGGATTTATAATAGCGTAGTAGATGGATCATGAGTTTAGGTAGCTCCAGAACCTGTTCATTGTCTATGTAATGAATAATGGTTTATTGTTGCAATACTTAGGGTCGTTTGATAGTCGCTAACTGAGTTAGAGCTGACTGGGTTAGAAGTTGACTGGGTTAGAAGTTCTGACTGAATTAACTTCAGACCGAAACTTGTTGTTTGATTTTGATTCTGATTGATTGTGTAAAATGACTCTATTACCCTCCAAACAATATTTTTATAATAATTCATTGGATTAATGACTCACGTAAAATGAAAAATGTCATTCTTTCAAAAACCCTTTCATAAATAACAAAACAACACACAATTCAACAATTCATATATATATATATATATATATATATATATATATATATATATATCTCCAAATCTGTTTAAATTAATTACTATTTACTGGAGCTTCATTTTACAAGACTTTGAGCACTTAACGGTGTGTGTGTTTTGATTAAAATAAAATGGAACACCTTTATCTTCCCCATGTAAGATTTAAAGAACCTGCAGATTCGTAACCATGAATAATAACTGTTTTTTTTTTGAACCACCAAGTAACTTTCTTTTCTTTTTTGAACTCGTTTTGGTTTATAAGTTATCAATTGCCAAATTCGTTTAATCTGTGTAAAATCTGTATGAACTCGTTTTTTCCATTATCAACTCAATGTTGCTGTGAACTCGATTTTCTGCAATATGAACTCAATGTTTGAACTCGATTTCGCAATAATCGATTTTATGTTGTATGAAATTGAATCTTTGTAGATATCGGAGTATCGAGCACTGGATTGTCTTCTTCTCTAATGGTGAAATTGGAGCTCATGAAACGATTAATCTACTTCTGGACAACATCAAAAAGATGAAGAAGATAAGAAACGGATTATTGTATGTGTTATTGCAGAAGTTATTCTTAATTTCGTATTCCAATTTCATCCCTGATATGATAACGAAAACAGCAAAATGGGAAAAAAAAACATTGAACAACAAAATTGGAAAACGGGAACAACAAAATCAGAAAGTACGAACCTGGTGAGTCGGAGGAAGAGGAAGGGTGGTCGGAGGTTGGGAGGAAGACGTCGGTGCTGTGTAGAGTCGGCCGATAGGAGGGAAGATTCGTATAGAGGATTATGGCAATATGGGTAATCTCCCCCTTTTCTCCAGAATTGTCCCGGTCCTTCATATTTTGAGATGGGACCGAATCATATGAATATCATGTACCGAGTCCAAGGTGTGGACCGAGTCCATGACTTTAAAAGCCAAATCAAACTTGCCAAATCAAAATTTTTGGACCCAGTCCATATTTGGATCCAGTTAGAAGACTTATCAAACGACCCCTTAGACTAAAAAGTTTATGTAAAAATGGTAGTCAAAGTGTAAAAACGGTAGCCAATCCACATACACCGTCCAAAGCCCATCCTTTTAAGGGGCCCCGAAATTTTCGGCCTAATGTAGTAGCAACAATATAGAAAGCATTTTTTTATTTCTCAATCCCAAAATTCGCGAAGTACATGTTCAACTATGTTATGAACCAAGAAAAAAATCATTAGAAGTCTAAAATCAAAAGAAATTTGGAAACGGCACCAAAATGCGGAAATCAAATCGTCCATATAACCATATATAAGCAAGCGATAGTGGAACGTCATCCAATGCTATGTCCCAAAAAATATAAATCAATGGTTTTCTATAAAGGTTTTCCTAAAAAAAATTATTCGGTACTTTATTTTAGTTTTTTAGTCTCCATTTCAATTAATAGATTATCTATGGTTCTAACTTTCGGATAAAGTTTAATCATTTAGATTGTGCAAGAGCATTTAATTTTATTTATTTCCTCTTTTATCTTCATATATGTCATTGTTATCACAATATGTTATTGTTATGTCGTGGAATTTTGTAAGTAGTTTCAAATTTTCGTAAGATTTGGATATGATATTAAGAAGATAAATTTATTGTAGTTCTTCCATTTAATACCAATTTTTTAAGTTAGCACTTTATTAATGAGGCACTCAATTGAACTTATGGTAGTAATAACACACATATATAAGATTTACTACCCCATGCATTTAATATTATGTCTTTTCAAGACCCCACATCTTCTCTTTTGGGTGGTTGATGCCTTGATGGACACTAAGGCTCCACAGAATGGAGCGGGAAGAGGGTGCGAGTAGCGGAACCGCACCCCGGAACACAATACCGAGGATACGGTTTGTGTCATGCGGTTTTCGAGTGAGGGGAGGCTTCCTCTCCTCCTATCTCTTCATTTGATTCGTCCGTTTTTTTTTCTAATACCGATTCCAACGGTTATTTTTCAAAAAGTTTACTTTTATTTCCTTAATAACGGCTAGATTTCGAATATATATATAGGTGTCATAAAAAACCAAAACTGAATAACCAAACCGAACCAAATGACGTTTGGTTTATTTGGTTCGGGTTATTTGGTTTTCGGTTAATTTGGTT